AAAAAAAAAAAAAAAAAAAAAAAAAAAAAACAGCATCCAGAGACTCCACCTGGGGCTTCAGGACTCTTACTTCAAAGGTGCCCACAGTGCCAGACCGCATCCACAGGGCGGGGACACACAGGCAGGAAGCCCTAGAGGGAGAGCCTGACTCGGAAATGAAGACATCTGTGGCCAGGGCCTTTCCAGCCAAGCACGGCTCAGACCAGAGCTGGTGCTGGTCAGTCCTCAGTTTACCCTTTGCTTCTGTCTCTCACGTCCCCAGCACAAGAACCATGACCAGCAACTTCTGGGGCCTGGGAAAAGTTTCAACAATCTAAAGACGTAAAAAAATATTTCACCTTCAACTGTCAAAAAAAAAAAATCTCCAAAACTACCCATCATTACGGGCTCCTTGCATCTGCGGTCAGTTGGTTGAACATCTGACTCTTGATTTCAGCTCAGGTCACCATCTCAATGGTGTCAGGGGTTCTCCTGTGTCAGGGAGAGCTCTTAATAGCTGACAGCTTGAGCCCCTGGGACTTCTCTCTCTCTCTCTCTCTCTCTGTCCCTCCCTGGCTCACTCTTTGTCTCAAAATAAATAAATGAAACTTAAAAAAAAAAAATAATGGACTCCCGAGAGGCTTTATTTTTCCTTCTAGTTATGAAAGAAATATCCATTATGGAAAATTTGGGAAATACAGAAAAGCCCAAAATAGGATATAGAAACTACCTAAAATCCTATCATGATTTTTTTCTCTCTCTTTTTCAAAAAACATAAAATGAAAATCTTCCTGCCCATTGGTCCCTGTCCCCAAGAAGCAGCCGCTGTCACCTGTGATTTGGCACATACTCTACACAGACCTTGGCTTATATACAGTTATTTAACTTAAGAACAGTTATTTTATTTTGTTTTCCAGAACTCTGCTCTGCATGTTATTCTGCAGTTTGCGGTTTTGCTTAATAAATACAGCCGGGGTGTTTTTCTGTGTCCGTGCATATCGTTAACGGGCTGCAACTATTCCAATATATGGATATACGCCAACCTTACACGCTCATTACAGTCTGTGTCAATACAAATGCTGATAGAGGCTTCCAGCTTTTTAAAACTATAAAACATGCCGGGGCATCTGGGTGGCTCAGTCAGTTAATTAAGCGTCAGACTCTTGGTGTTGGCTCCGCTCCTGATCTCACAGTTTGTGAGTTCGAGCCCTGCATCAGGCTCTGCACCGAGCTTGGAGCCTGCTTGGGATTTTGTCCCACCCTCCCTCTCTCTGCCCCTCCCCTGCTCGCTCTCTCTCTCTCTCTCAAAATAAACTTAAAACCATTAAAAAAATTTTTTTTAGCTATAAACCTGCCGCTTCCTGGTATCTTTAATCCTGTAACGGGAGGGTGGCGACGAGTGTTGACAGACGCACCCACTCGAGCCAGCCTACTCACCAGCATTCATTTCTTTACATTTCTGCTTGAGCTCCAGAGGTGTCAGGCGGTACTGGTCCAGCCCATCGTTCCACCTGATTCTCTCCAGCACCTGCAGGTCTCCACCAACCAGCCAATCCCCGCTCTCCATCACCATCTAGAACAGACCGTTAGCAAAGTTGTTGGAGATTAGATCAGCTTCTGTTTTACCTGGAAAAAAAAAAATGTTCTCCTTCCGAACCGATTTCGGGTTCCTGTTGAAGAACCACCTTCAGTTCTTAAGCATTTCTAGCGCAGCCTTGCTCAAACTATGTGGTCTCTCAACCCCTTTATGCTTTTCAGAATTACTGAGGACCCCCCCAAAGAGCTTTGTTTTTGTGGCTCTTACCTATCGTATTTTCCGTATTAGAAATTAAAAGTGGGAAATTTCAAAAATATTTATTAATTTGCTTAAGATTAATATAAACCTACTGTATAGTAATATAAATAACTTTCTTTTTAGTTAAAAATGTTTTCCAAGCAAGAAGAGAGAGAAATGCATTGCTTTACATGTTTGCAAATCTCTTTAATGTCTGAGTTAATAGAAGGTGGTGAAGGGGGCCTGAGGGGCTCAGTTAAGCATCTGGGTCTTGATTTTGGCTCAGTTCATTATCTCAACAGCTGTGAGTTCAAGCCTCTCATTGAGCTCCAAGCTGACAGTGTGGAGCCTGCTTGAGATGGTCTCTGCCTCTCTCTCTGCCTTTCCCTCCCTCCCTCACTCTCAAAATAAAGTTTAAAAAAAAAGAAATAAACTCTTGGTTCACTGAGTTTGTCAGTTTCTCAAATGTCGACATATTTCAGTTTAGGATGTAAAAAAAATTAATATTTGATATCAATATCAATATTAATATCTATATACTTGATATTAATGTCAATATTTGATATTTATTAACATCATCAGACAATTTTGTAAGTATTGGGAAGATGCCAGACCCACTGTGGCAAATAAAAGCTTTCCAGCATTTTTTCGTTTGAAAGCTCAGTTTGAGATCATTGGCAACCAACACCCTCCATTGTTTTCCTTGAAGTGACAGGTTCACTGTTTTGTTTTTGTTTTTGTTTTTAAATATCTGCCAAATAACCAAGTCTGAGTAGCCATAGTTTGTCAGTCATCTAAGCAAAAACCGCATTTCCTGAAAAAGTGGCTGGTTTTGCTCATTGGCTCAGGTGCCCGACTGAGTCTCCGACTGAGACAACTTGCGTATCCGTGCGTGTGGCAAAAGCGCTTTTGTGTGCACTGCCCGTCTCGTGACACAAACTTTTTTTTTTTTTTAACATTTTTTATTTTTGAGAGAGACAGAACGCAAGCAGGGGAGGGAGAGAGAGAGGGAGACACAGAATCCAAAGCAGGCTCCAGGCTCCGAGCTGTCAGCACAAAGCCCGATGCGGGGCTTGAACCATGAACCATGAGATCATGACCTGAGCCTAAGTTGGATGCCTGGTGATAGATTATTAAAAGGAGATGATCAAGTGTCCAGATTCAGTAATTGTCTTTACAGCTTCATCAAGAACATTCTTGGGATGCATGGGTGGCTCAGTCGGTTAAGTGTCGACTTCGGCTCAGGTCATGATGTCACAGTTCATGGGTTCGAGCCCCGCATCGGGCTCTGTGCTGACAGCTCGGAGCCTGAGCCTGCTTCGGATTCTGTGTCTCCCTCTCTCTCTGCCCTGCCCCGTCTTGTGCTCTCTCTCTCTCTCAAAAATAAACATTAAAAAAAGATAAAAGAACTTTCTCAACTGAGGCTGGCACTGCCTTTCCTGCAAGTGTGTGTGGTGAGGGGCACAACCACCCGAGTGCGGCCGGCTGTCCCTGTCCTGAGTCTGAGGAGCAGGCGGTTTTATTCGCCACTGCTGTTGTACCCTCAATGCTGACGTCAGCAAGGTGAAGATGGCAAATAATGTCTCAGGAGTATGAACAGTTTTGAGACTGGGGTTCTGGGGAAAGGTCTTGGGGACCCCCAGTGTTCTGTGAGCCACTCTCCGAGGACCACTGCCGGTGCATTCCTAATACAACCTCACGTATCTTTAGACTGTTTTCAATAAGGACCCAGAATAGAGAAGCTGGGAAAAAAAAAAAAAAATCAGGCAAGTTGTTTTCTACCAATTAATTAATCATTGCTAAGCACACTTTCTAAGGAAACTCTCCAAAGGAGCATCTTTCTTAGTTATCTCTAATTTGAAAACAAAAGACAATGTCCAAAGAGCAGCAGTATGTAGCCAAATCCACACCCAAGGCTAAGCACAGACTAATTAGCTAAAATCTTGTTTTTCTCAAATAATCTTTGAGAAGGGTGCCAAGGCCACTGGATGGTAAGAGAGCAGTCTCTGGCAAATGGTGTTGAGAAAACTGGATATCCACAGATAAAAGAATAGAGTTAGAGCCTTATTTTATACCCTGCAAAAACAATTAATTCAAAATGGATTAAAGGCCTAAATGTAAGATCTGAAACTCTAAAACTCCTAGAAGAGAACAGAGGAGAAGCTTCATGACCTTGGACATGGCAATGGTTTCTTGGCTAGGACACCAAAAAGCACAGGCAACAAAACAAAAATAGACATGGGACTACTTGAAGCTTTAAAACTTGTGTGCCTCGAAGAACACAATCAACGGAGTGAAAAGGCAACCTAAGAATGGGAGAAAATATTTGCAAGTCATCTAATGGGGGCTAATGTTCCAAATATATTTTTAAAAAGTCCTACAACTCAACAACAAAAGATTAAATAACCTGCTTTTTTAAACGGGTGAAAGACTTGAACGGACATTTCTCCAGAGATGATCTACAGATGGCCAACGGGATAGGAAAAGGCGCTCGGCATCACTCCTCATCAGAAAAACGCAAGCCTGACCCCTGTTAGGATGACTACTGTCAAGAGCAGAAAATGTCAAGTGTTGGCAAGGACGTGGAGAAATCAGAATGTTTGTGCCCTGTGGGTGCGATTGTAAAATGGTGCAGCCGCTGTGGAAAACACTGTGGAATTTCTTCAAAAAATTAGAACATATAACTACCATACGATCCACTGATCCGACTTCTGGGCATATAGCCAAGGGAATGGAAAGCAAGATCTTGAAGAGATTTGCACGCCCGTGTTCATAAAAACACTATTCACAAAAGCCAAGAGGTAGAACCTGTCCAAGGACCCAACAACAGATGAATGGGTAAACCGTGACTTGCACATACAGACAACAGTATTATTTAGCCTTAAAAACGAAGAACAGCCTGTCCCAGGCTACAGCGTGGCTGAAGATACTACGCTAAATGAAATAAAAGCACTCACAGAAAAGATTAATACTGTATCATCCCTCCTAGGAGAGGCATCTAAAACGAGTCAGATTCATAGAAACAGCAAATAGGAGGGCTTCTACCTGGGAGGGGGAGGGGAGTCGTTGTTTGATGGGTATAGATTTTCAGATTTGCCAAACAAACGTTCTGGCCCTTCCTTTCACAACAAAGTAAATAGACTTAACACTCCTGAATGGCACGCTCAAAAATGCTACAGATGGTAAATGTTAGGTTATGTGCTTTGGGCGTAGATAAATGGATAGATTATGGCCTGTTTTTTTACTCACTGAGGATTTCACTGCGGTTACTAGTAATACCCTCACTTGGCAAAGTCTCAGTTGAAAAGGTGACTTTGGGGGGCGCCTGGGTGGCGCAGTCGGTTAAGTGTCTGACTTCAGCCAGGTCACGATCTTGCGGTCCGTGAGTTTGAGCCCCGCGTCAGGCTCTGGGCTGATAGCTCGGAGCCTGGAGCCTGTTTCCGATTCTGTGTCCCCCTCTCTCTCTGCCCCTCCCCCGTTCATGCTCTGTCTCTCTCTGTCCCAAAAATAAATAAACGTTGAAAAAAAAAATTAAAAAAAAAAAAAAAAAAAAAAAAGGTGACTTTGGGAAAGGGTGAGTGAGGGACAGGAAATGGAGACCTTTAGGAAACACCCTGGGCACCGTGTCTCACACTATCAATGACCCCACTCTTCCCCTCTGTGGTTGTGCCCCTTTCTGTCAGGGCATAGAAGCCTCGGGGGGCAGGCGCACTTGGTCTATATCTCCAAGGTCTAGGTCATGACCTGTGCACCTGGGACTCCAGAATTCCCTGCGCAAGGAGCCTCGAGCTGGCTCCCAGGAGTCAGAGCGCTTCACCCCTCTGCCCCCGCCTGTCTTTCCAGGGTGGACCCTGCCAGGGCAGCACTGGTTCTGGAGACTGGCCAAGTGAAGGGAGTTTTCCAGGGGTGTGGGCGCAGCTTGGACACCCAGCCCAGGGCACCCTCATGGTGTGGAACAAGGCCAAGCATAGAAGAGGAAGGAGGGTTCCTTGCAGGCCAGGAGTCAACTCTTCACACGGCACCATGTTCTGGTACAGAATCAAGAAGCATACCTTGGAATCTGACCTTCCGGGTTATTCTCAAGGCATAGCTGTCAGAGAAGAAGGATGGGACACATTGTTTCTGATGGTTCGTGAGTTCGATATGTGACCTTCAGATGCAGTATGCTGGCCTTGCCCCGGGCCCCACAAATGTTAGGGGTGAGCCTGGCGTGAGGAGCGGCCATAGGAACAAAAAGGAAGAACAAGCCAGTGTGGGATGGAGGGAGGAAAGGCCAGTGCTCCCCTCATGGGAGGGAAGACACCCTCGGGCCTAACAGGACACATGGGTGTCACCCATGTCACCCACTTGGTGACATCCAACTGGGTCATAAGGTGCACCTTAGACTCACACAGTGCTATGTGTCAGTTATATCTCAATAAGGCTGGGGAGAGAAGAAAAACACGACCTTTGTTTTGTCATAAACCTAAATACGCCCCACATAATGCTGTGATGTGATCAGTTACAACCTACAACCTTGTTAAAGCAAGGGTCTCAGTTGCTGAGATGGACGTTACAGAAAGTCCAACTTCTCCATCAGTTAATGATCTCATAACCCTTCCACTGATCAAATTCCATAACTGCTCTCGTGCTGTCCAAGGATAATATGGCCACCTGTGATGACAGCCGAGGAGAGGGCGCAGGAGTAGCGAGATAAAGCTGATGGAAGATAAAGCGCTGAGCTGGAAGACGCCAAGGCACCGAGGGTGTGCATACCCCTGCTTCACATCCCCTGTTGTGGCTGGACGTTGGAGCTTATGATTTGCATTCCATAGGGGCTCAGCATCTGGGGAACTGGGATACAGCCGAGGCTCTCAAAAGAGGGCGATTTTGCCCCTCCTGGTGACATTTGACAATATCTAAAGACAATTTTGATTGTCATGATGGGGGCAGGGAAGGGTGTGCTATTGGCATCTAATGCGCTGAGGCCAGAAATGCTACTACATACCCAGCACGGCACGAGACAGTCCCCACAGCAAGGAATTATCCAGTCCCAACGTCAACAGTGCTGGCGTTGAGAAACTCTGGGTTCAGAGGGTGATTTTCAAGGGTTTGGGCCCGTGGCCCCCTTTCTAAACTCGGTGCCGAGAAAAGTCACTTAATAAGATATTGTCAAATACCCTTACCTATTCATTTACTTTCTCTTCATTGCCCCAGTCAGGCTACAGATAAAACTTTGAAAGACGTGAACACCCCAAATCCCTAGGAGTGCAGTAGTAACTCATTCTGGACGCTAGGGGTCCACCCTATATCATTCTGCTGGTGAAGGCAGCATGGAACCAACCTGGTTCACAAACCAGGCCTGTGTCTATCTGAAAAGCAGTGCTGACACT